GTGGAAATTCTGTGTATTAAAAAAGTTGTATCAAGAAAGAATAAACTAGTTTTAATTAAGAAATGAGTTGTATCGCTGAAGTTCCTCGGAAAACATTTATACCGGAAATTAACAAACGAGCAGATACGTAACAGTACTCTACATAGAAATTCCAATAAATTTTAGCCTTTTAAGATCTAAGACGAAGTATTTCATTTAGTCGCCGTATTACTTACTGTAAGCTCAATGTCCTTTAGTAATTGGTTTCGATCAAGAGATTCTGTGAGAAAAACACCAGGTGGAGCTGACGACAAAGTATTGTAGCGATTCAGAAATGTAAGTTTAACGGTGTAAGCAGCTCCCGCTAACGGAAGGAATATCAGATAAAATACAACAAATGAATAAAATAATAGTTTTATAGTTAATAAATACAAGGCGATAAACATGATAAGTGTAGAAGAAAATAGAAGTTTGTAATTAATCACAAAGCTACAAAATGGGCTATCTGTGGTCTGCCCACCATAGGTATCGAAGCCCGGATTCTAACATTGTAAGTCCGCAGACATGCCGCTGTGCCACTGGTGGGGATGTGGCAAAAGAAAATAGCAATAAAATAACATGAGTAGATACGAATAAAATATTAACAAGCTTTCTCTTAACCAATAGTTTCTCTCTTAACTGAAAACACTTTTCAAAAGAGAAATAAAGTTATTATCAATCATGTCTGATAATATTCCTTGCAAGTATTTCTCATGTCGAGAAACAGATCTATTCAGTTTGATCAAAAAATTAATGAGCCAACAATATTGTCTAAGGCTGACAGAAACCACGCCTTGTCGCTTGCAGCGTCGAACTAAGACTATTTGTGTTGTTGTCTGAATGAAAATGTTTTAGTTAAAATAATGTAACAGAATAGATAAAAGTAAAAATATAAACGTTTGCTGTATTAAGAAATATGTAAACTTTCATGTTTAGAAAAGCAGAAAGATTTTATAATAAAAGACCCAGATTTTTCTTAGAGGTTAAAAGAGAAACTTGCAAAATTGTTTTGATACTATGTGAATTTAGTAACCTAATCAACGCAATCACTCAACTCTAATATGTAGGAAAAAAATTCAAAGCTTGTGAATTTTATATAAGAATACTAATTTCGTACTATAATTTAAACTACAAATATATTAAGTTAGAATTATCTTTGAGAAAAACAAAACAAAATTGTCTATGAAACATATTGAAGAATTGAATACCAAAGCTGCATCTTACCTAACTGGCAATGTTGGCCCTCTATGAAATTTTTGAAAGATGGCTTACACTGGCAGGTAGCATTTCCATTTCTATCCACTACGCAGTCAGCAAAATATCTTTGACACTTTTCAGTATTTTCGTGAAAGGCACAGACAGCTGAATAAAGAACTCGCTAAGAGATTTTTATCAGCTCAAATCATCTTAAATTATATTTTCACAAATAACGGTAAAATATTCAGGAAAGTGCTAATCGATAAATTAACGATAATTTATCAATTGTTCTAAGAGCAGTCAAGCTCCAACTCATTTTTCAGAATAACTAAGTTAAAAAGTAGTTGACTTTTTTAAATTCAAGAATTATTGAATGCTTGATTAAAAATGGAGTTTACGAACATTTAGCTCGAGTACTTCATCTTCAAATATTATTTCTATGGGTGATGTTTTATTCTAACCAGAGAACCTTCAATGTATTTTTTTTTCTATTTCAAAGGGTAAACAATAAAAACACTTTAAGTAAGAAACCAAACTCACAGAGAAATTATTCCACCCATGTTTTGACGAAAAATTCGTCGTTTCTGAGAATCTAGTCGACAGGGGTTTCATGAAAGTTGATTATTTGTAATAAAATAGAGAAAATGTTTTTTTAATTTCATTATTTCTAAGAAACTTGTATGTAACAGCTTTTTGAGTTCAATATTTGCCATCAAAAATAGATACAAATTTTCATTTTGAAGGAAAAAACACACCAACACTATGATAAAAGGCCGTTCTTGTGCATGAAGTAACTAAATTGAAATGTTAAAAAAGTGGACAATAACCTACTGAAAAGGCACCAGGATCGGTACGTATTTTACTCTAACTTCATCAGCAGAAGCATACCTTTACATTTTCCTAGCGCATCTCGTCTGTATCCAAATGGACAGGTACAACTGAACCCTTCTGCTATAGTTTCATCCAAATTGCAATCTGCATTTTCAAGAGAACATGTTCGTTTTCCTTCGTTTTCCCCGTTACACAGTGGTTTCACTTGAAGGTAATGAAGAAAATAAATTGAAGCAATTATTAAATTAAAACAATATTTTTAACGGAAATTAAAAAAAAACTCTTAATGTATTTTGATGAACGTTTTATTAAATATTATATGAAACACAACTATATATTCCTTAAAGTTTCATACACAATTATAAGATATTGGAACTTTAACACAATTATGATTTTGCATTTCTGAAAAAATAAAAGAAGAGTGTACTTTAAACAGCGTGTAAAATAAACTTATTACAAATCTTAACCACAGTAACATTGTAAACTATATTTCTTTACATTTCAAAATGAATCATATTGGGCCTACACAAATAGGAATAGTGCTAACATTTGCAGCTGAAACCATCTATGTCTTCTTCCCAGATACCGCCACATTTGCACCTGATGTTCCCACCTGTTCCCACGTCGCAGTGCTGACTAGGACAGATATCTCGTAGAGGGTTTGCCATCCACGAAGAACTGTTACAGTATTCTACAATTACAAGAAAAAATGAAAAAGGTTTAACCTTCTATCCCTAACATTTAAATCAGACAGAGGACGAGTAATTATCCAAATCATACACAGAGTTTTGTTGTCTTCTTATTTGGTAGGACTTCCTTCGAATCTTTGTCTACTGAGATCCACAAAGAATAATTCTATAATTGTATTTTCAAGTGCGTTACTTATATTCTATATAGTTTTATAGTGAGGAAAGTCTGTTTATCTTTAATTATTTTGAAGGCAATGCAACTTTTAGTGCTATTTCAAATGTGTTTACTACTTTTGAAGATCAAAAACATTAACTAAATATTCACCAGTCTCTTAAATCCAATAAATTCCAAAATAACAAACAGTTAAACAAGTACTCAAAATTACTCTAATCATTTAAGTAATTTATTTTGTAATCGTGGCGAGAAATGTCGAGTGCAAAATCTACATACTTCAAAACAGATCATATTTTATTGTTAAATTTTCTGCTCTGCTTGACTAAGCATAATATTCAAGCAAAGCTAAGATAAAGCTTAGAGCTGAACTATTGAAATATACTGTTCTGTTTCAATACAGCAAGATTTTAGAAGTACTCTCTCACTGTGGCTTTCGAAAACTTCAGACCGTTTTGCAAAATTTACAAAGTATAAGTATAATAAGTATAGAATTAACAAACAAGGAGAAACCTAACAATATATACATATACCTCTGATTTTTATCTAATTAGCTGACTGACAGGACAGGTAAGAAGTTATACTTCAACTTGAGAGGACAGGATAGAAGTTATGCTTTACCCTGACAGGGCAGATTAGAAGTTAAACTTCACCCCTAAGAGGACAGGTTAGAAGTTATGGTTTACCCTGACAGGACAGGTTAGAAGTTACGCTTTAACCTGACAGGACATGTTAGAAGTTATACTTCACCCTGACAGGGCAGGTTAGAAGTTAAACTTCACCCCTAAGAGGACAGGTTAGAAGTTATGGTTTACCCTGACAGGACAGGTTAGAAGTTACGCTTTAACCTGACAGGACATGTTAGAAGTTATACTTCACCCTGACAGGACAGGCTAGAAGTTAAACTTCACCCTAAGAAGACAGGTTAGAAGTTATGCTTTACCCTGACAGGATAGGTTAGAAATTATATTTCACCCTGAGATGACAGGTTATTTGACTGTGATTTTTTAATGATTATATAACATTTATTGTTCTGATAATTGTGAGCCTGCGATGACTGTATAACAATCGTTTTCTGATAATTATGGGTCTTTGATGATTGTGTAATATATATTGTTGTGATGATTGTGACTCTGAGGATTGTATAGCTTTTATTGTTGTGATGATTGTGACTCTGGGGATTGTATAGCTTTTATTGTTGTGATGATTGTGTAATATATATTGTTGTGATGATTGTGACTCTGAGGATTGTATAGCTTTTATTGTTGTGTTGATTGTGACTCTGTGATGATTGTATAGCTTTTATTGTTGTGATGATTGTGTAATATATATTGTTGTGATGATTGTGACTCTGTGAGGATTGTATAGCTTTTATTGTTGTGATGATTGTGTAATATATATTGTTGTGAGGATTGTATAGCTTTTATTGTTGTGATGATTGTGTAATGTATATTGTTGTGATGATTGTGTAACATATATTGTTATGATGATTGTGTAATATATATTGTTGTGATGGTTGTGACTCTGTGAGGATTGTATAGCTTTTATTGTTGTGATGATTGTGTAATATATATTGTTTTTATGACTGAGAGAATTGTGTGACTCTGATGACTGTTTAACTGTCTAAACTTAGATAAACTATGGACATACTCACCATATGTGATGACTGTATAACATTATTTTTTGTCGGATTTCCTTATGTTTGGGGAATGTGTATATTTTAATTCCAGCCAATTTTGTGACTGTGTTTTTCATGTCTATAATCTCCGAAAGAAAAGAAAAAAGACATTTGAATGGAGTTTAAAGAATAGATCCAAAGATACCAAAGCATAAGCTAATTATCCAATATCTTCTCATTTAATAATTCTTTACTTACCTATGCATATGCTATTTTCTAGAACATATCCTTCTTGACAAAAACACTTGTTCTGGCTGTTGACTTTCAAACACTTGCCGCCTACTCCACAGTTTACAAAATCTGAACATTCGTCTATGTTTGGCAGTGCTAGGTATAAACAAAACATGCACTAAAAACATAGATACTAAAAGAAGCAATGCATAAATACTTTTCATCTGTTCTTCTGTAATGTTGGTTTTTAACAGTCAAGTCGACGACAGAAATTATCACTACAAGAAACAATACGTGCTTGTAAGTTATGTAAGTGAGGTTATTGTAGTGGCTCTTACTTCTCAATTATTAGTAAAGTGTTAATATTATTATTATATCAAAGTTACAATCATAGGTTTTTATTTCTCGCTCGTTAGTAAGGTGTTTTTTATTATTATATAAAAGTTACAATCATAGGTTTTTATTTCTCGCTCGTTAGTAAGGTGTTTTTTATTATTATATGAAAGTTACAATCATAGGTTTTTATTTCTCGCTCGTTAGTAAGGTGTTTTTTATTATTATATGGAAGTTACAATCATAGGTTTTTAGTTCTCGCTCGTTAGTAAGGTTTTTTTATTATTATATGAAAGTTACAATCATAGGTTTTTATTTCTCACTCGTTAGTAAGGTGTTAATAATATTATTATAATATGAAAGATAAATCACATAAATAACATTCGAAGATATAACAAGGAGAATATGATTATACAAGAGTATTTTAAAGACATTCAATATGTCTCCTTTTAAACTTAGTTTTTTATGCAATATTTCATTGTTTTAATTTCACATAACTAATAATGATGCGTTGTATGTCAGTATAGCCACAGCTATATAATAATATCGTATTGTTGCGTCAGCCAGGTCACGTGACTAGTATCACGCCACTTTTCTCGAACCTTCGTGAATTATCGGGAGACAACTAGATATGTGTTAGTCTTGTATATATATAAGACGTTGACAACATGACGGGAACAGTGTAATGAGTAATTGAATGTATGCGGACAAAATATTGTTGGCCACGTGGGATATAACGTTTGTTATAGCGCGACTGTTGAAGTTAAGTGTATCGCAAAGTTGTATTCGGAAAGAATAAACCAGTTTTATTCAGAAAGGACTTGTGTCGCTAAAGTTTAGTTGGAAAGAATTTACGGGAAAATTAACTAACGAACGGAGACGTAACAGTATCATATCAACGGTAAAACGTAACAGCTGTATCACAGCTGTGTAGACAGTACTTGTTATAACAAAGATAAAATGTTACAATAGCATCACAGCTGTGTAGACAGTATTTGTTATAACAGCATAACAGCTGTGTAAACATAGGGTTTCATTAAGAACGTAACACTTGGCTACGAAGTTAGTACCGTATAAATCAGTAGGCGATGTAATACTATTAATAGTTGGATACAAAGTCACAGTGATTCTCCAACAGGAAATAGTGGTCTGTTACGGAGAATATTGATCCAAATTTGTTTGAAAGGTTAGTGAAATATATGAATAGTTTTTGATAATTACAGCATATTTTTACATTTCATAATACCTAAACAAACATATATACTAGATATGATGACATAACAACAAGAGCTACAGCACGCGAATCTTTTATCAACAACTTGAAACAAAAAAGATCGCTTTAATAAAATTGGAAAATTAGTGAATTTTTCTTCATTGTTTTCAGAAAGTTGTCATTCTGTTACTTACCACATTTGTTATCTTGTTTTACAAATGGTAAGCTACAGGTACAAGCATAGCCTTTATCTCCATCAGATATGGCCTTGCAAACTTCGTTCTCCTTACAGTTATGTCTTCCCGTTTCGCAAAAAGTTGCTGTAAGCCAAGTAAACAAAATATTTTAATAACCTCCTATCTTATATGTTTTTTTTGTTTTTTTGAGAAACAAGAAATGAAATTATATTCTGAAGATTTTGATTGTCATTAGAGTTTAACTGCTTTTGTGATCAATCTGAAATCAAAGAAAACATTTTTATAATATACACATACTAGCAGGACTAGCGTGAAGTACGTGATCTATCACATCCAAAAATAAGATAAACTTTAGGTAACATTGTAATTACAATATGAAATGTAAAAGACAAAATAACTTCATAGTTGATGTACAAAACTTGCAATAGGAACTTCAGAAGTAGACAACTAACAGATACATCTATATGTCAAATGCTTTCTGAAAATACAGATACACCAAATCTACACTCTTACCCTCATCTACATAAGCAGTAACCTTTTCAAACAATGTTAAAAGATTTGTAAGGCAAGAGTTTCCCTTAGTGAAACCATGTTGATTATCCAATAAAATTCTAAACTTTGTGAAATGACTTTGCAAAAGCATCTTTTAACAGACTTTCCAAAACATTTTCCCACAACTGATGTAAGACTAATGGGTCTATAATTACTGGGACAATTTTTATTACCTCCCTTGAAGAGAGGAGTTAGATTAGTTAACTTTCAATCTTATGGTACCTGCCCATTATTCAAGGACTGAGAAAAAATAGTAGCAGGTGGTTCACAAATGATTCAAATTTCATTTGGAGCCACACAGTTCATTTTCACATAGAATCTTACAAAAGCTATCGCCGGCCGTTGAGATTAGAATTACAATTTCATTGGTATTGGGTTAAGTGTGGCCTTATAGTTAACGTGCCAAAGCTAAAAATATGTGGGTTCCTGGTTCGCGTCCCTTTGACACAAAAGCTCGCTCTTAATTTGCGGGTCTTGGATGCGCTACGAGGATCAGATCGCACTATGCGGGTCAGAGTAGCTCACGTGGGAGCTGTTGCTTAGTTACATCCCCCTTTATTCTATTACTTCAAAATGAGAAACGGCTATGCTAAGATAGTCCTTTGCTCAAAAATTGTAAAATAAACAAATCACTGGTATTTTACGCAGCTTAGACACTGTAGGGTTGAACTTCGAGAAGACTCATCTTGCCTTGTTTCTTATACATTATGCTTGACTCTATACTTCATTTTACTAAGGATAAGTAAGCCAGTTTTCTAGTATTCAAAATGTTTTTGTGTAATAAAAGAGTTAATTTCAAACAGAAAGTATTTTTATTCTCTTAAGAGGTAAATATGGCTGTTTTTTGTTTTATTTTATATCTCTTAGTTCGTCGCAAATATTGGCTGTTGTTTCTTCTCTTGATCAAAAGTTTACTGATTTGGATGACTCACGGACACAGTCTCCTGTTTTCTGGTTTTTTGTATATCCTTCTTCACATGTGCACGTGATGTTTCTTGGACTTTCATCTGATCCCGGCATGCACTTGGTGTGTTTACCTGTGCAGGTTGTAGAGCAGAAATTTTTCGCTGAAACAAGAAAATACGTCATCTTAGTAATATAAGAATGAAAAACATTGTTGGCTATCAGGTTTGACGTTGATCATTGCTTTCTTCTGCAATATATATCGAATTATGCAAGCCCGCTTGCCTTTTTAAACTACATGTTCCAAACGTTAAATAACCTACTAATTAAAATAATCTCTAAAATCCAATATAAAATGAATAAGTTCTCCTGAGAAGAGGTGTTTTCAAAATGGAAACGTAAAACACGCTATCTTGATTTACAAGTAAAGTTTAAATCAATTTTCACACCGTCTTCATCACTAATATGTATAGATATGGAGTATGTAATCTTTGGAAGTCTCTTCATGTGCGTAACAGACGGAACAGTCAGACATTCTACTCTAGGTTGGTATTTATTTAACCCAAACAATCAATAACTGTACCACAGTTAGCAACAAACTAAATTATATAAATTTAAATATTCGTTTAGATAGGAGAAATTGGAGCGAAATTAACGTGAGTCTTATGCAACCATTGAAATATATATACATATGCTGTTTCACTACTGAAACAAGCTACTAAGGCAGGTTTCTTTTATATTTTTTTACTTTATTAATATTTGGCGATTTTATGCCATCGCTGAACAGTAGTTTTGATAGAAATGAATAAAAACCTTCAGTTTGTCCCTGAATAAGAAAGGTCCACTTTTCGAAAGCGCTCGGGTTATAGGGTTTTTATTCATTTCTATCAAGACTTCTTGAACCTACGTGTTTTCCTAACACCATGAATGCTGAAGAGTAGTTTTAAGCGTTGCGAGAGCGCCACCTATTAAACATAAATCTAATACAGAGCTCGTAACCTATATCTTGATATACTTACAAAACACATATACATACACACTTGAGAATTTACTGACGGAACAGACGGATTACACGTGAGAAATACAGATTAACAAGATTTTTGCATGTGATATTTAGTACTCGGGGCATTTTTATCCGCGTTGTTTAAAAATCAGTTGTGATAACAACAGCAAATCCCGTTGTTCTTGATCACAAACATGTCTTATAGCAAATATAATTGATCAGACTATAATTACGAAGAAATTTAAACAAGAGTGAAAGATTCCTGTAATTCACGGTCGTTTTATTTCTTCGTAATTATGGGCGCAATATTTCAGTAATCACTACATCATTTTAAAAATGTTAAAGTAAATGTTGCATATCGAGAAGATGAGAAAACGACCCCTAGAGAATTGAGAAGACGCACAGCGTGACCACCAGTCGCCACTATTGTATTCTATTGTTGTTCATTAAGAATAGCGAGGACTGCTGAAAAAAGTCGAAGCATCTATATAATAATACCCTTATTCGTGTGTCTGTTACGGAAATGACGTCTGTGCGCATGCGTATTTAGATAATAAAGTGTGCGCGCATTATCATGACAGACGAAAACTGAGAATTATTATTATTATTATAGACTAGCTGAGAACTGAAAGATATTTGCGCTCAGACTGGTGTCTTTATTACAAAAGTACTTCTTTAAATATATGATTTCTAGAATAATACAAAATAATTCTAATCGCAGACACTGAAATCTTGTCATACTATGATCTGCTGTCGATACACCTTATAAACATGCGCAGTAAGAATCTTACACAGCAAAACAGTGTACCAGAGAGGTGGAAAGCGCAACGAAGAAGCCACTATAACTTTACTATTCTTTATCAATCATTTACTACAATAACATTATAAGCTTGAAATTTTCAAAAAAGTCTGACATTAGGTCCTAGAATAACATTATAAGTTTATTTATAGATAGTATTAAGCACAGTATAGTTTAGTCGTAATTAAGATAATGTAAAAAAACGTTCACGGTACAGTGTTAATTTATCTGTTTATCAAACTTAGGCCTAACATTAGTTAAGGTTTTGTAATGTACGACCTAAAGGCTAAATACTAGTGGACTTACACATTTCGGTGTCTATGATTATATTTCGTTTGTATTGTTGTACAAATCTTTTATTTAAAGAAATACTGTTGCAATAAAGATACTAATTTGACAGCAAACTGGAAGATAAATAATTTGGATTCGTTAGTCCACGAGTTTAAAAATTGGGTCTCTGTGTTGGCTGAAAAGCATACAAAAATTATATAAATAATCTGGATTCTTTAGTACAAGAAATAAAAAAAAAGCCTTTCTGTTGGCTGAAAATCAACTTTAATGTTGTGAAAATAAAGCTTATTGAAATAAAAATATAATTTTCAGCTCATGACTGTCTATTTTGTTACTGTTACGACAGCGAAAGTCACGTGACGTTGTTGGCGCTGGTGGCGTGCGTGATGAGTTTCTCGAATGATCGTGGAAGTCCGAGTGTGTTCGAGATGCCCTCTTCGTTAGTATATAATCCTGGCAGCGAAAGCCAACAGAGATAAATGAAGAGAGAGCAGTAGTTACTTGAAGTTCAGTATAATTTATGATTCTGTTAGTTTCGAGCTAGTGAGCCGTAAAGCGTGTGTTTTGCACTTGTCGAGAGCGAAGTTATCGAGATTGTGAATCGCTGTGATGTATAGCGTGTATTATAAAAGTTGTTAAGTTTAAAGTGACGAGAAACGTACCGATTGTGGAACTACTGTGTACTAAAAGTTTGTCTCGAGGAAGAATAAACTGGTTTAACCAAGAAAGGACTTGTATCGCTGAAGATCCTTGGAAAATTTCTACCGGAAACAAACAAACAAGCATATACATAACATTACGCTACTTACACGTTTAACTAAACTATAAGACAAGTCTTAAATCTATCTAGCTATATATATATACAACAAGAATTAAACTAATTACTTCTGGGAAGCAGTAGGGTAAGACTATTCCAATTCTTATCATGATACCTCATTTTAAAATCAGTCTAATGTCATACTTGCACGAAAGCTTCCTTGCAACTATGAAATATTGATTTTGCTCTACTTATTGAATAAGAAAATGCTTATATATCAACATTGAATAAACAACATACGAGGATATCTTGGAAGTGAGACGAAACTAACGTAATTTGGATCAGGATTTATCTTTTTTATTATTGGCTAATGTATTATAATCTACTGGCATTTCAATTGATCAATGATGGTTTCTTGATGCAGTATAATCAATATGTGGTTGAAGTTAAACAAACTTACCGTGACATTTATCTCCCTCACTTCTCTCGTAGCCATCTTTACAGATACATACACCTTTAAATGTATCACATACCTCATACGTATCACACCCTTCAAAAAGGCATCGTTTTATATCTGAGAAAAAATAAAATAGATCATTTTAACTAAGGCTTATAAAAGACATGGTACTTTAGCTGATATTCAAGGCCGTTGTTTATTAGCTATGTATATGTAATTGTTAAAGGTACCTATATAAATGTTTATGGTTTTACGTTTACCGGATTTTTTTAATTCCTCTCATAATTGTTGTCAAAAACGACTTGAGTATAATCTCTTAAAACCTCAGATTCTAAACAATGAAACAAATTGAAAAGGAGGATCGGGATGAGAGCAAAAATGGAGAATCATGAGGGTTTTGAGGGGACTCAGTTGGGAATAAACAGATTTATATTAACAAGTGGGTAGCTATTCAAAATAGTAATCTAAGTTCACATTTTGGAAGTTCTTGAATTAGATAACCAATATTGGTGTTAAAAGGGGATCTCTGGACAGGGTATAAATATTTATATCATGGACATGTAGAGTATCTTTAAAAATAAGTAACTACGTTTACATTTGCAAAACTTTAAAATAGGACACGAAAATTAGGGGACCAAGATGGTTTTGGCGATTCCCAGAATAGAATGCACGTGGTCTGTACAGAAAGACTAAGTTGGGTTTTCAGACTTTGCTCAATACTGTTTAAGAAAAAGATCTGATTTGATTTTATAGAAGAGATGACCCCTAAAATTTTTAAAGTACATCATAAACATAACTTGTGATATCAGTTTTTCCCATGAGCCTTTCATCAGTATAGTTCTCAGTGAAACCGTAGGTCGCCTATGTTCGCAAATGAAATTGTGATGTGAAAATATAATTTCATATTTTCATTCAGAGCGTCTGACTAGTTGATAATATATGGTTCTAACTTTTTATAATAAATAATATTACTGTAAACCTCAAAGCAAAAAATTTGAAAGCTATTGCTTGTTTAGGTATGATCAATAAAAAACTAAATCGGTAGTATTTCTGAGTCAACATATCTTGGCTGGGAGTATACGGTGGTATGGGTAGTAGTTCTGAGTCAACACATCTTGTCTGGGAGTATACGGTGGTATGGGTAGTAGTTCTGAGTCAACACATCTTGGCTGGGAGTATACGGTGGTATGGGTAGTTAGTTCTGAGTCAACACATCTTGGCTGGGAATATACCTAACCTGAAACAAACTCTTACAGAAACAAATGATACCAAATTGTGACTTTACAACATGCATGGAAATATTTAATAAGGTTTTCTCTAATATAAGACCAAGTCAAATATTTTCCTTAAAGGGGTGTTCAATGAATACAGAAAGATAAACTCTTTTAAAAACCTCTTCATAGACTAGTAGGATTTCACGGAAACTGGAACGGACATATGAATTACACAGGCCTGCGATGGTTTTATTGCCTTGAAATTTTTACATGCTGTACAGTAATTCCTGTACGTTGAATCCGAAAATGATATCCATTTTTCTCCAATGCGTGCAGATTTCTCAAAAAATGTCATATTTACTTGTATAGATTTCTATAGACCCTCCATTTTGGCATATATTGAATGTGCACAGATTAACCAATTCAGTTGAAGTGGTACCCCTTTCAGTCGTTATGGTGCTATCGAATTTAAGAGATGAAACACGCATAATAATAAAAAATGTTCATCATGGTAAACGAAATAATAATTTGATCTAAGTAAGAGATTTTTTCTTCCCGTTTTGTAAAAATCTTTACGTGATAGAAAAAAAAAATTATTATTTTCGAAATCTGCGTAGCTTAATTATGGAAAATCCGTTATTAAAACCAAAACAACTTTTATGAAGTTTAAATTCGCAGGCTTGTGTTATCGTTCAATATAAGAATCTATAATATACTTGTAATTTGTTGGAAATTTTACATTCCGCTTCTCATATTATGAACAAGAATTTTTAGAGACTCTTAGGGTTGGCTGCTCGGATTTACATAAACAGATTCTAAAAACATGTGCAAAATTTTTCTCATTATAGCCATTTTAACACAAATTTTAACTGTTTACATAAATTTTCACTACTGAAATTATAATATGAATAACCTCAATGTGAGTAAATATTGAAATATCTCAAGCATGAAAAAGAAAAAAGCTAAAAGCAGTAACTTTTTGCTAATATTTTCATAATCAAGAAATTTAGATTATTATTTCAATAAACGTTAAGGGTGCGTAAGTATTGATTATATTTCTTAGATTAAATTGCAATGAACGTGAATAAAAGAAAGCTGTCTGACCTTTGCAACTTTTACTATTATAGTCAAAATACTTTGACTTGTCACACGTACAGATGAAAGATTCACTGTTAGCGTCGGACTCACAACTAGATTCATCTTCACAATATTCGTCTCCTGTTATGTTATTTAAAGTAGACTTGCAGTAGTCTTTCGTTTCGCAGTGTTTACCAGCAAAAGGATAGGGACAATCACATAAGTAACTGTAAACCAGCCTACAAGTACCCCCGTTTTGGCATAAATTCAATGTACACAGATTAACCAATTCAGTTGAAGAACTAGGGAATGTAGATGTAACAGTAGACAGATTTGTTGTATTAAAACTTCTTTTACTTGTTTCAGTGCTACGGAATGTAACATTTCGTTTAATAATTGTAGTATCATGTGATGTAGAGGACGAAACAGTAGAGGGATCAGATGAAGTGGTACTTATTTCATTCGTTGTAGTGTAAGGGGAGGTAGACGATGAATCAGTAGACGAATCTTTTAAATTAGTACTTTTTGCATGAGTTGTAGAACCAAGGAATGTAGTGGATAAAACTGTAGACAAATCTTTTGAAATGGTATTTCTCTCACTCATTGTAGTGTTAAGGGATGTAGAGGATAAAATAGTGTATGGATCAATTGAAATAATATTTCTTTCACTCATTATGCTGCTCGGAGATGTAGTGGATACAAATATAGATGGATTAGGTGAAATGGTACTTTTTTCACTGGTTGTATTCAGGTGGAATGCAGAAGAAAGGAAAGTAGACGAATCTGTTGAAGTGGTAATTTTTTCACTGGTTGTAGTCTTGGGGAATGTAGAAGAAAGGACAGCAGATGAATCTGATGAAGTGGGACTTTTGTCACTGGTTGCATTCAGGTAGAATGCAGAAGAAAGGAAAGTAGATGAATCTGTTGAACCCTAAACACTACAATGAGTGAAAGAGGTACCACATGTAGAAGATAAAACAGTAGATGAATCTGTTGAAGTGGTACCTCTTTCACTCATTGTAGTGTTTAGGGCTGTAGAAGATAAAACAGTAGATGAATCTGTTGAAGTGGAACTTTTGTCACCGGTTGTAGTCATGGGGAATGTAAAAGAAAGGACAGCAGATGAATCTGATGAAGTGGTACCTCTCTCACTCATTGTAGTGTTTAGTGATGTAGAAGATAAAACAGTAGATGAATCTGTTGAAGTGGTACCTCTTTCACTCATTGTAGTGTTTAGGGATGTAGAAGATAAAACAGTAGATGAATCTGTTGAAGTGTTACTTCTTT